AAATATTTGTTTCAAAATAGAATATATGACAATATTTAAATATATTATATCCTAGACTGACAAATCATCTCCGTTCAGAATCGTTTTTCGTGTACAATGATACCTATCATTGCATTCAAATTTAATCCCATCCATTACAGTAACCTACTGTACAGCAGAGCGACATCCACGACTTACCCGCTTTTTTTTGGATCTAGGACATTCGGTCCTTGGACAATTAGTCTCCGTGAAAAAACACAGAATACGGACAATTGACAATCGTCATAATTTTATTCACAAGCAATTGGTCCCGACCAGACATGTAGTCCTAAAGTTGTTTGTGAGATAAATACTTAAATACAAAATACTTCATGAATACAATATATGATCAAATACAAAAATTAAAATAAATATGATATCTCGCGAGAATAAAGCCTCAATATTGTTCAACGATGTTTTAGGTACTTACAGCAAGACTTAAGGAATATAAATAATTCAAAAGTTCATCTTCAGAAAAGTTAATGTCAAAAATATTACAAACATATAACTTTTAAGCCGGGAACCAATTGCTCGTGTTTAAAATAATGACGAGATTAATGATTACAGATATTATTTTATCATTTTTTATACCTATATGGTAATATCTTCAAAATATTTCAACTCTTTTTAAGTTATTTCTAGACATTTGAAATTTGAGAATTTTAGTATTAAATTCCTAGTGGAGCGACAAATGACAAATGTATGGATTTGACGATGAAATTTTTTTTTGTGCGTGTGTGTACAGTGTACACAATAAGTTATCGATATAATACTTCGTATTTCAACTTCAGTAGCTTTTCCAGGTGGAAAGTGAATCTAGTTAGTGCATTGAAGATGTAAAAATAAAATTATTGCTCTTCAAACTTCAATATTTATTTATCTCGAATAATTTAAATAAATATATTGTTTAAAAATTTAAGTTACAAACATTCAAAACGAGTAGGTAGTACATATAAAATTTCAAATATTTAATTATCATTAGAATATTAGATAGGTATTAATTGTATTAAATTAAAAATATAGTATAAATAAATACATGTAACTATCCATAAAAGTAAAAGTAATACTACAACAACACCAAAAAATAATTTTTGCTTAAAATGTTCCTGGAATTGCATACAATACAATATATTTATTTGATTTTGGAACATACTATGAATATTGAATAATAATAAGATACAAAATCATTTACATACATTAGGTATAATGTATAAATATGTGAATAGTTTACCATTTAATTTATGAAATGTATTTTAAAATTGTTTGGCTTGTTAGTTTTTTGTAACAGAATTTTTAAAATGGCTGAGTATTAATATAATATTTACTATTTAGTATTAAAATACAATAATTTTAAGTATCTGGTACATTTTTCTTGCCATACTTGACATGTGGTATTTAATAATAGTGATTACTGATTATTAATGAACAAAAAGTAAATAACTTAAAAAAAAAATTGAATACCATAAAAGTAGTTTGTATGTCTGTTTAAATTGTTGGTACATGTATTGTGATAATATGACTCACATAATAATAGATAATCAATAAATGAATGAAAAAGTAATGAACATTAACTATGTTCTTACTTTCTTAGCTTAAATTTGATAATATGTGAATTCACTCAAATTTCAAAAGTAATAACACGGAGTTGCTTCTGCTGAAAATATATTTGCTTGTTGCACATGGGTCAGGGAGAAAACAAATTGTCTGCTGACATCCTCTTAAGAAAAATTGACACGTTATAAAATTGCTATTAGTATTTATGTTTAAATTGTATGTACTTGTTATAATAAAGTAATTATATGAATTAATTTTGTAAACATCACATATATTAATCAATACAATGGAGGAAAAGTAAGTAATATAATTTATATATATTTAACCAAAAAAGCTTAATGATAATTCAAAATTTTTTTCAAATACTATTTTTGTCTAAATAAAGTATTTAAAGTATTTAAATTAATTTTAAATCCAAACTAATAAAATTTCTTGATGGTACTATAAACTAATAATTATATATACATTTTCTCAATAGCGCAGATAGGTAAAAAAAAAAATTGTACATAAGTAGGGCTCGGATTTTAAAGCAAATGCTTCTTTTTTATATATGAGATAGAAATTTAATTTTTCTTCAAAAATTTGTTTCATGCCATTCTAATTTTTTAAATTATTTTAGGTGTGGAATTTGTATATTATGTTTATTATGCTATAGCAATGAAAAAAATGAATTGAATTAAAAAGAAAATACTTAATACACAGTACGGACTAAATGAGTATATTGCATGATTTTTTATCAGCATAAAAATTTGTCAGAAAATAGTCAGTTTGACTACTGAAAATTTTGCAAATATATGGCAATCAATTCTTTTTTTTACTTAAATTAATTTTTCAATTTTTTTATTCATTTTGGTCATACTTTATTTTTGCTTATCAAAAAAAATATGCTTTATTTTTGCTTTTTAAAACAATTTTGCTATTTGTTATGCTTTAAAATACGAGCTCTTTACATAAGTTACATACCTATATCAAATGTGTTATACATATTATAAAAATATCCATAAGGATAATATTAGTAATATCATAATATTATACACCATATCAGCGCTATTAAATTCTCTTAAGATAGATTATAGCATTAATTAATATAATCTAGTTAAATCTTCAATGAGATAGGTCACATCTTTAATACCAATCTCTGTCTGTCCCAATATTTTCTGGAATTCACAATCATATGATCCCTAAAAAATATCACACATGGTCATCTTATATGATTAAATAGGTATGTACTTATCAATCTTTAAACTAATATTTAACTCCAAAAAAACTAATTTAAAATACTTGCTTTTGTTATCCACAATAATGTTTAAACACTTTTATAGTTTTATATAAACAACACTTTTTATAATTATTTCTTTCATAATTTTTATAGGTATACAATAATTTGCATTAGCAAAACTTTTAATCTATTTATTATTTTATGCTTTAATTTTACAGTATTGATTAAGATAAAAAAGATTCCAAAGGAGGACAAATCAATCATCAAAGTTAAGAAATTCGGAAACATAATCTAGAAGGTACCTACCAACTATATTGTTATTTAATCCACTAAAAATCTACAATACATAGATTGTGGCGGTACTTAAGTTAAATGGAAGTATCTTTGATTAAATTTTATCATACTGGAAGTTTGTTATTGTGAAATAGTTRGTACACATGGATCTAGGCTAACTTTAAAATAGCTTTCATGAAAGAAAGCCAATAAATTACTTTTAAATATTTTATTACTTGGGACAAACTTTCTGAAACTTCTCTTAAGAATTAAATTACTATACAACAACAAATATTTTTACTACCTTTAGTCCTTTGATAACTGACTCCATATCATTAACAGGCAATTTCAAAAAACTTTTTATCAAATTCCCATCATAAAATCCTTTATTAGATTTTGTGAGTTCTATTTGATGATGATGGGGTATCATTCCTGTTCCATGAACAACAGTAGCTAAGCTCATCTCCAAATCTGACAGGAATCCAAACAGTTTTGGACTCATTTTTGTGATAAATCCTATTAAGATCATTACAAATAATTAAAACAATGAAATTTAAAACTAAGGTAGTGTATCAAATAAATATCAAGTAAATATTTGCTTTAATCATGTATAAAATCATGCTTTGAGAAACCAAAATATTAAGTTTTAAAATAACATAAAAATATACTAATCAATTTAAATTAAATTTACAAAAATTTAAAATGGTACTATGTGCTTATAGCATACTATGGACAATCCAAAGATGTCCTTGTACAAATAAAATAACAAACAATTTCTGATGAATTACTTTCTATATTTGAAATTAAAATAAAAACTTACAACTCAATAAATGAAAAAAAGGATCTGAAGGTTCTAAACAATCAGAAATATCTATGTCCAACTATAGACTGCCACACTAGCATTTTGTGCATGAGGCGTCCAGGCCAGTTGTCAAAGTCTTAATCAGCACACCACATTATTTAAGACCGACAATGGCTTACATATATAGGTATAAACAATATTACTAACTATCTATTACCATAATATTTAAAATAGTGGTTCTTAACAACAAAAATTGGCAGGTTATTTAATAACACAGTTACCATTTAGAAATAAGACATTAAACATTCACATAAATCACAAGACTAAATTCATTGAGAGTTGAGATAATAAAAACAACTGATGTCAAACAGGTTGCCTAAAAATAATAAAAATACTACTTTAACACTGGAACGATGGCCATTTATTTATGAAAAATAAAGTTAAGATAATACATTTGGATAAACAATGATAGTATGAAACAGAAAAAATCAAAAATGCCAAATTAAGAATAATAGTAAAACCTGATAAAATGTAGAAAATGCTTATATAAACATTCAGTAAAAATTTCAAGTATCTGCGGTCGTTTGTTTTAGAGTTACACCAAAATAAGAAAATCGCTAAATGAAAAATCTAGTGAAAATCCAAAGTTGTAAAAATTGACTTTCTGGTGGACATTTTTTTTTTTTGTGATAAAGATTGACAAATTTGTAAGGAATCTTGTATTCAATTTTTAAATCTTAGTTTTAAAAAGAAAATTTTTTATGAATTTCTAGCTTAAAATAATTTGCTAATTTTTGTGATTTTTACGTACTTGTTAAAATTCAAAGTTTGAAAGCATATAAAAAAAATTGTGACTATGAATTGCTTTCATTTTTTAACTACTATTGTAATAATATTTTAGGAGCCTTGTATTAAATTTTCAAGCTTTTCTACCCAACAAATACATTTTGATCGATATTAATTTCAAAAAAACTAATAATGATCGAAAATTGCATATGCCTATAAATGGTTCAACTTAAGTCAACATTTTTTGAAAACTGCATGGTGGATAGAATATACTAATATAAAACATTCGGTGAAAATTTCATGTTTCTATGATCATTTGTTTTAAAGTTACATCAAAAACCAAAATCGATTTTATCGAAAACTGATTGTGCGTAAAATTTCCCGTTTTTCCCTTAATTTTTAGTTTGTTTATCCCGATTATTTAGAAAAATATTGAGAATTTTTTACTTTTGACCTCCCAAAGTACCAACTAGATTCACTTTTTGATCGAACGAGGTCGACTGAAGTCGAAAATAGAAGCACTTTACTGCCCCAAAAAGTAATGACTAACACAAAAGAAACACACATCATGGTAAAATCAATACATTCCTTGCTCCGCTCAAAATCTAAAAAAATAGTTTGTGGCTTATTAAGATATGATATAATCCAAAGGCCAAGATATTATATGATTCTTAGGCAGTTCTATAAAGTTTAAAAAGATATTCCTATTAAGTTTTTCTTATTACTTATTATTGATTAATATTATTATATTTCTACACCAGTATCCAGATTTAATAGTATATTGACATTAACCAACTTTAAAATTAATTTAAAGCATGCTATTTGTGCAATACTTTCATTAATTACAAGGTTTTAAGTTTTAATTTAATTAAAACTCTAAACTCTAAATAAAAGTAAAAAAAAACATGTCAAATTGTATCATATTATTTTTCACAAACCAAGAGCTCCACTAATTGTGCCATAAAAAATACTTCCTTGAACTGACAACTGTGTTTCATACCCATTTTCAAATTGTTTCATAACTGATGAACCATGCTTAAAAACGTTTACCAAATCACCCAAGTGGAATCGACCGATTTCTTGAAAATTATTATGCAAACAATTATCAGAATCAAAATTACTATAAAAAAAAAAATATGTATATATAAATATAATTTTTAATGCCAACTAATAACATATATATATATACATAATAGTATAATACATAACCAAAATTAATTAAATAGTTTTAAATACCTGTGTTTATAAAAAACATATAGGTATTTATCATTTTCTGCTCCCATAAATAAATCATTATCAATAATCTCTATGGCAGATGACCATTTTAGACAATCATCTGTAACTATCTACGCATAAAGTAGAAAAAGTATTATTTTTTTATTAATTATTACAAATATCTAACAGTTAAATTACCTTTTCTAGATTGATTTCATCAGTTTTGTACTTGAATAGTGCTAATGATTTCATTACATCACCACAAAGAATATATTTTCCATTAGTTTTAATATACTGAGATATACTGTTATTATTTTGTGTACATCGGAGGACAAGTTTTTTTTCATGATTCCAGCTATATAATTGTACCTAAAAATTTAGCATATTTAAATAATCAAACTAATAGGTAAGTGGTTAGTGCTGTATCTTGAATTCTGAGGATCCCAGCAAAAGAAAAAACGCTATAAAGTATTAAGATACCTAAAAGTACATATTTAATAATTAATAACAACATGTTAAATTTAAAATAAACCTTTAGCCCTTCAACATGGTTATTGTATGTTATATTTCCCTTAGAAGCAATGTTAGGTTTCAATGTTTGATCATATTTCTTGTATGTTATCAATTGGGTTAAAAATAATAACCAATACAGCATAGATGTTTTCAAAAATAAAAGACAATTAGACAACATAGGGTTTTAGATGCTTAAGTAAAAAATGGATGGACTATTTATTTTTTTATATAATCAACCAAATTCTACAGATCATGAATTATGATTATACATAAATTATTAAACTAACATAAATGATTGTACTATTAATTCAAAAATGATAAAAATAGAATCAAAAACCTATGGCTATTTTGTAACTTTACTATAGAATAATTATTGTATAGTATTATAGTTTATTTTATTTTCTCTCACTTTACTCATATCATCTAGTTAATAAAAGTTATAAAGTATTCAATCATATTATTATTTATTATTAGTTATATTGAGTTTTAATCAATATTATAGATTTCTATAATAAGGCTAGTTTAAAAATAATAAATACTCAAAAATTGATAAATTGTAAATAAATAACACATATATATATATATATATATATTTTTGATTAATACAGTGTTTAAAATTAAAATGGCGATTGATATTGTTAAGGTTGGTGCAAATTTCAAAAATTGCTACATACCCACGGCATAACTCTGCTAAACTTATGCCAGATTTTAGTTATAAGCTTCTATTATACAAACAATTATTAGCCTATTAAAAAATGTTTAAAAAGTCCATTTCAATTGAAAAAATTATCTTATACATAATTTAAAAACTATAATATAACTTGTATTGTAATCCTAATAAATAAAAAATATAATTTTTTAAATTATTTACATGTTTAAATATATATTATTGAACTTACTGAACTATTAACTGTAGCTACGAGCATGTCATGAAATGTAACCATGCTAAAACATCCACCATTAACTATTTTTTCTGATATTTGCGTCAGTTTTGATAAAGAAGAATTATAGTAGAATACAACAATTCGACCTTCATTAGAATCTTGACATTCATCTGTCATAAAAGCCGTTCCCAAAATATAATAAGTGTTTGGATCATTTCCCAATTTAGTTGATATGATGCTTAATGCATATTCGTTAGAATATAATTGATAAACATGTAGAACTATAAATATATTTCAAGTGTTATAAAAGTAAAAAGATAATTTCATAATTTTTTATTTTATAATAAAATCAGTTACTTTCAAAAGTCTTATGATGTAATATAATCATACTGCTTTTGTCAAATTCAGTATTGAAATCATTGTCACTTAATGAAATTTCTCTACTACTACATTGTTGAACATCTAAAGAACGATTTCCCATTGCACTAGAAATATTCTGTGTTCTAGTACTAGCACTAGGCTGAACAGATTCTATTATTATTTCATCTTTAATATTTTTTTTGATAGTTGTTATGCCAAATGTCTAAAAAAAAAATGTATTAAAATAAAAAATAACAAAATTATTTCTGGTAAATACTTTGCTTGCTCCTTGGTATGCAATTCGCCGAGGAGATTCTCCTAGAGGAATAGTACGTACGTGATGTTTTTTCTCCATATCAATAACACCAATAATAAGAGCGGTGTCTGTAGCCAGAATCAAACTTTATTTTTAAATAAAATAAATTTAATTAAAAATTATAATTTGATAGTTATAGTAACAGCTAAGTATTTTTACCTATTGGGATAATTATTTGTATTAATCATACATAAATAATTAACTTTTATTGAATTGACATTAGTAAAAATCAGATTTTTATTAGAAGAATGAATTATAATTGGGTAATCTGAACATATGAAAATACTTGAAGTAGTTTGAAACTTTTTAATTAAAGCTGGTCGATATCCAAGTTTAATCTAAAATAAAAATTCAAAAGTTAAAATTAATTATTTAGGTAAAAAGTAAAACTTAATTATTAATACTAACCTTTCCATTTTTATATAATTCACCAGTTTCAATATTTAAGTAAAAATAACATAAACTCCCATTTCCCAATGCACAAAATAAGTAGTGTATATCTTCTAATGTAACAAAGGATATTGATCGAGGAACGATTCCTAAAAAATAAAAGAATACTGAATAATTTGAATAAAAATATAATCTTACTTGTTGTATTCAACTCTTTTAATTTATTAAGGAATAATATCTCTTAATAATAGTTTTAATTTTTAGGTATAAACAGAAAATAATATTTTTGTTTTTACAAAAACGTTTTTACTGTCATATACCTTTATAGTTTTAATCTTGATCTTAATATATACAAAAAAGTCATAGCATAGAAGTTTTCGTTGACTAACAATACCTATACTGTTAGCAGTTAGGTTTGCTAACTTGCTGCATATGTATATTTTTAGTCATGAAAAACTCCTATGAAATGGCTTATCTGTGTATTTTAAAATAAATAGTTTTACATTCAAGTGGTTTTATATGAGGTATAATTTTTATTAATACTGTACTTACAACTTAACTTATAGTCTATACAAACAATAAAAGTTCAAAACAAAACTACCCACTAGAAGAGAACAAAATATCTGATGAACTATAAGATTACCAGTAGGTACATTTTTAAGACACATATTAAAGACTTAAAAATATAACCTAACTTTTTCTAAATAACATTGTTGGTTTAGAGATAATATCGTTTGTACTTTTTAGATGAAAAAAAATTACATTTTAATTTTCACGACTATGACACATGTGAAACATTGTTTATAATATCATACTTTATGTATCTAGTTTTATTTTCACATGATTTTATATTATGTTTTACTAAGTTTTTATTATTAACACCTATAGTAATCAGTAATCACTACCACAAATTATATTTTTATGGTTATATTTCTTTTACTATTGAATATAACTTAATTATGTAAATTGATGATTAACATTTATTACCTTCACATAAAGGTTCATTTACAAGTTCTACAAAATCTGGAAGTTTAAGTACTTTAATAGATGTTTTTGTCCACAAACCAATAGCAAGCAAAATAATAGTTTCACCAAATTTGTCTTTAAATGAACAAATGTCAAGACAAGATGCTTCATGTTCTAATGTAATACGCCTATTAACATATTATAAAAAAAATTAATACTAGGCATTTAATGTGGGTTTAATGTGTATGTATAAAAATTTTATACTTATTCTGGAAAATCTGCTGAGATCCAATTTCTATATAATACAGATCATATCCTGAAGAGCAAACCGCTTGACGATCATTACATGATACAGCATTAATATTTCTGTAATTCGGTATTTTCCATTCACTTATTAATTTTTTTGTTTCCATACAAATTAACCGAACACTAGCAGTTGTTATTTGAACCATCTTATTATCTAATGTTTTACCACAGTAAAACGTTTGTAACTCAGATTCAAACCCTTCAACATGTATTTCTTCTGCTTCTTCATCATTAAATGTCAACACTTTACTATGCCAAACATAAGATAATACTAATGTATCATCTAAATCACTTTTAGTGTTAAAACTTAGAGACCAAATCCCTTTAATTCCAAGTAAATCAATTGTAGCTATTTCTTGAATCCCTACTCCATTATTTATGACTCTAAGAGATCCGTCTTTATATGCCCCTTCAAATTAATTATAAAAAATGAAAAATAAATAAATAATTTATAGATTTTTCTTTTTAAATAAGCAATACCTGAATACTAAACATACCTGAACAAGTAACAATTTGTTCTTGACCACGTTGGTCAATATCAACTAAGCACATATCAACAATTGGTCCTAAATTAAGATATTGATCTAATACTGCAACATGCGAACCAGATTGATTAAATTCATAATGTAATTTAATGAGTTGAGAGTCACCAAATTTAGACGCGACATAAATTACTTTGTTATCCAAGTATGTAAGTGATACGGGTATACTAATTTCTCCTAAAAAAACATATTTGTTGTATTGGTATTCCATAATATTAACATAATTGTTTAACTAACCAAAATAACCTAAAGTTAGGTCTGTCACTTTAAATTTTCCGTTTGATGTTTTTTCATACTTTAAAAATAACATAAGTAAACATCCTGAATGATCTCCAAGTAAATATCTAGTTCCTTCTATATCAACTCTAGTATAACATACAATACCGATTTTCTGAAAATAAAGAATATATAAGAAGTATAGGATTATGTATCATTTTTAGTAAAGAATTATTTACCTGTCTAATGGGAAGATGAATAATATTAAAGGAGCCATCATGATAAAATATTGAATTTTCACCAATAATAATTACACCAAAGAGAGGCTCAGGAACAGGAATAATCATTGAAGCTTCTTTTTCAATACTTTTATATTTCTTAGAATTCTAGTCAATACATGCAGTTGAAATTTAACTTAATAAATAAGTGGAAAATTAAAAAAGAGATTACCTCAAAACATGTTATAAAATTAACAATAATTTCTTTAATTTTAATATTTCTGCCCATAATATTCTCATGTATAATTATAATTGTAGGGTTAGTAAAACCATACAAAAAATCGAAATCTTGTACATTTGTTTCTTCCATTCTAGAATTAAAGCATATGACTTTGTAAGTATAATAAGCATAAAAATATGCTAAATTTCAAACATATTGAAACTATTTATACAGATAATATTATTTTTAAAATAGACAAATAAGCCATTATATAAAACAGATACCTATCAGCTATCTATCATATAATATAACAGTGGTGCCCAACTCGCAGACCGCAGGCCACATGTGGCACTCGAAGGTATTCTGAATGGCCCGTTACAAATTTTTAAATCAAACAAATTATTCTAAAATAAATAAAATTATATTTATTTATTTTATAATAGTAATGATAATAAGAAAATAAAAATTTACATATATTTGGTGGCTCGCTTGAAGATAGCTTACCAAAGTAGCACATTGAATAAAAAAGTTTGGGCATCACTGATATATAACATTAGAAATTAGTAATTACATTTAGATTTTTGAAAAACAAATGTTTATAATAATTCATGAATAAATGCACATTGAACATAACTTACGTTATAGAATATACTTCGAGTTCACCCTCTTTGTCTAAAGGTATGATTTTGAACATTTGTTCAAATAGTTTTAGCATAACTATTTTGGCATTTGGATCAATTTTGGCCATAAATTCTGTTGCAATTCCAAAATGATCAAATACATTACAATGACCTTTTGTCATTATTTCAATTTTATTAGATGCCTGAGTAAATTCTAAAATCATTGCGTTATATTCAGCAGTCACTACAAATACAAGGTCTACATTTTTGTTCTGAAAAAGAAAAACAATAATAATAATCTTATTAGTTTAAATCTGGTAGGTTTTAATTGATTCATCATGATTCATTTATCATACTTTAGGTCTAAAAACTTTCATTATTTCAATTTTTCCATTGAGTTCCATTTCTGATAGTAACAAGAGACCACATTCATTAATTAGGTATATTTCTATGCAATTTAATTTTGCGACAATCAAATTGAGTTGTGTTGGTGAGATAAAAAATCCTAAATTTATAAATAAAAATATACATATATATACATAAAATAAATAAATAATATATCATATTATATTCTTACACGTGCAGAAGAGACAAAAATAAAAATATCAAGTATCTAAAAACTAAAATATGTGTTAAAGCATTATAGGTAACATTGATTTTAAGAGTTCTGTAAATATTATACGTACTAAATATAAGGCACAATTTTTTTTACTTGTTGCTTTATAGGTATTTAACATAATATATCAAATTTATTTCAAATTTTAAAATATGTACCTATAGATTTTTCATGCTATTTAAAAATTGAATTAAGTAAAGAATTCAAATTAATTATATATCTTATTTGATTTTATAATATAATAAATTACAAATTAAAATGAATTACCTATCTGTATAATAAAATATAATTTTTAATAAATCACAATAAATATCTACAGTATAAGTGGGTACCAATTGAAAAATAAAAATGTATGTGTTAATTATTCATTTGGATAAATTTGAAGCATATTTGAACATATTAAGTACATAAACAGAATAATACATATATCTAGGTATTTGCAACTGTTTTTTGAGTAAGTATCGAAGTTTCCTCTTAAATTGTTTTAAACTTGAATTTATTGMAATCAAATATCAATATCCCACAATTTATGACATTTGGTTATTATTAGTTTATTTTCTAAATAAATAAAGTACACTGGATAAATTTCAATCCATCTGTTATTTACTAAGTATAATGTAAAATTAAAACAGGAGTTAAGATTGTCCGCAGCGGTTAATTCTCCCCCTAAAAAAATTCATGTGGACGTCCATAACACCATTGTTTAATTGTGTACAACAAAAATTGGTAACTCAAGTTACTTGAGAGTACATTTTTAGAATGTCAAAATCTAGTGGGTCAGAGAGCATAGAAAGCAACAACAATAGGTCATTAAAATTTAAAATGTATGAATCCTTTTTTAATGTTAGATTTAAGGTAATTACAGATGAAATTTAGCAAAATCAACTTCTATTCCTGTAATTTAAAACTGAAATACATAATAGATGTTCTAAGATTTCAGCGGTTAGATGTTGTAAAATATATTATAATCACATATGTAAGTAACTCCTAACTATAACTTCTCAATAATTACAATGTAATTATATACCTATTTTATTTTATTTCAGTTAGTAATTAAAAGAGGTCATAATAAGTTCATGCATTTGCATATCAATCTTGGTATGTTATATGTAATGCTAGGTGACATAGAAATCCATTTCAAGGTACAGCAATTAAATATGTGAAATCTTATTTTGCATATTTAGAGGTTTTTTGCCTATTTGGCATATAAATGCATATTTCTATTTTATAGGGCATATTATATATGATTTTAATATTTATATATTTATATTATTATATCAAGATGCATTTTTTTAAAGGAAATATTATACAAGAATCAACATTTGTCAAAAAAACAAAGCGATTGTTTATAATTTTTATTTTAATTTTGACATAAAAATAAATTATAATTATAAAAAAATAAATGAATAATTCATGTTATTTCAAAAAAATTTTATGATTTTTTATGTAAACATTTTTTAAGTGCATAATTTTAGATATTTAGCGGATATAAATGCATGCTTTTTAAACTTTTAAGGCATATTTCAATACATATTTTGTCAATTTTGAGTGCATAAATGCATATTTATTATCTAGGCATATTTCAGGGCATGAACTTACAAGCCTTGGTAGTTGCAAATTTATGTATTATTTCAATATTTATTGACAATATAATTTTATAAATTTATACTATTATTTTACTTATTTGATAGAATACATTTAAGAATAATTAGAATTAACAATTTAACTGATATTACAGTAAAATTATTGAAAGTAATTAATTTAGATTTTCATTACTTCAAGTCCTTAGATATTATGTGTTAATGGATCGGACAAATATTGTAACCCTTTGCTTTTTTATACTTATCACATAATTAGTATTAAATAAAGCTAATCATATCCCTTTAATATGTATGGGTTAATGAGAGACTTCATGAGAGACTATCAACTACAAGATTAAAACATTTACGTTTAAAAATATCAGCATTTAACTAGATCAAAAAGCCATTAAGACAAACATTATATTAAAGTAATACTCGTTAAACTGAAAGGTAGGTATTGTTGAATTTTAAATCTTTTTAATAATATGACCAACAATAGTAAGTACCTACATAAGATGATTTAATTAAGCAAATAACAATGCTTATTCACTATCCGTATCACTTTAAAATTTTGATTTTTTGTTAGCTTAAAAATATTGATAAAATGTTTAGCTACAAGTCTCCAAGTATCTATTACATTACAAAGTACTAGTCTTGAGTATGCTAGTAAGGCTATAGATATAATAGAATTTGTTGAAACTGTATTGAATAAAATATGAGATAAAGTCAAATTAAACTATAGATGAGCAAATCGATGTTGAAGCATGGATTTCTAGAATCTAGAATAATAAACAAACAACAACAATGAGCAAATGCTAACCATAAAAATAAAATTTATTTGAACCATATACATTTCTATGGAATAGATTCCAAAAATAATCTATCCTAAAATATACTACCCACCTGTCCAACCATGAAGGTCTAGAAGGCAGATACACCTATGATCTAAATATTATTGAATAAATTATTTTTACTTTACTTAGATTAGTACTGAATTTGTGATTTTCTAAAGAAAATAATTTCTAACTACTAGAAATAGGTATTGAACATTACTCAAAAATATGAATTAAATTTACCCTCTAATAGTAAAGTGGAAATTTATGTTTATGAAAAAAGTTATGTATGAAAAAAAATTTAAAAAAATAAATGTTCCTATGGAAGCCTTAAAATCTACATCTGTTACCTAACATTGAGTGCCTTCTAAAAAATAGTATGGTCTATGTATATATACATTTGTCTATATATATATCCATTATAACAGCAACTTCAGAACAATCATTTACTTCATTGAAACGGATCAAAACATATTTAAGGTCTACAATTAACCCGATTAATAAAGGCGTAGCTGTAACTTCAGAAGAGTTATTGGACATGTTTTCTAAAAAATATAAAAAATGAAAACTTCAGTTGGATTTGTAATTAAAAGTTATAAAAATTGTAAAGAGCAATATTATGATTAGGTGTTAAAATAATTTTTTCATTTATAATTTATAATAATTTAATATTTTATAATTTATAGTTGATTTACTGAAAATATAAATAATGTACCCCCTGTAAATATTTTTGAGATCCACCGCTACCTGGTTGCATAAAAAACTGATCAATTTAATAGTTTATTCAAATGTAATGGATCAATCATGAGTAGATAAATCATGTTTTAGCTTTAATCTTTAAGAAAGAATTAGCTCAATATTAATTCTTTAAAATTGAATGTTTGTGCAACCTAGCATCAGCCTATACAATTATTAGATAGGTATTTAATTATTCATATATTGGACTATCAATTTTCTTTTGATAGTAAAAACTATTTGGTRGTGCCCATTCACAAGAAACAAACACAAGTGGTCACCTGATTCGCTKAAACTGGGGGCAGTAGCCTTGATAACTGTGGTCGTGTAGAACTGGGAATTCATTGTGGTACTGGTTTCAGTGTAGGTTCACAACTGGTACAATGGAGAAACAATCCCAAATACTATATAATTAGACTCGTCTTTCCTAAAATACAAATATTAATATAATATTACAATATTTACAATAAGTACAGTACAGGCATAATGCACAATGCACAATGCGATCACGAACTAGATCATAAATAACGAAGTAAGTACTAGACTACCATATGTGATTATTAATATTTTTCGTAATCAGTAGGTATTACAAAAGTCGTGAATACATCTTCCTCTCAGCCGGTGATTAGAGAAAATGGAATTCAGACACTTACATGAAAAAAGGGCGGACAGTATTAAGAATTAACTTAAGCATCAACCCGACTGCACCCAGCGGTAGTGACTTATATTAATATTATAATTGCTATCAGTAGGCGGTAGACCGGCCGGAACTCGGGTCGCTAGTGCGGCTGCGTGAACCCGGGAAGATCCTCAGTGCTCACACATTATCGATTGGTAGGTAACAAGCTGACAACGTGAATGTATGACCCGCCGACGGTAAATGTTAGCTATCAGTAAACTAATAAAGCCAAGCCACTAGGTTTCTGTATTTACGGGAATATTAAAGTATTATCAATTATTAAAAACGTTTATTTATTTTTATATTGTATCAAATACATTCAATTTATGTATGCAATATATTATATCAAATATAAATACTTTTGGTTGATAATAGGCAGTAAAAGCCGAAATAGGTAGTAGCTGAAATATTCTGTGATAAGACTCATAAATTATAATTATTAATTATTATTATAATTATTATATAATTATAATTATATTATAATTATTAATTATTATTATAATTATTATATAATTATAATTATATTATAATTAATAATTATTATTATAATTTATAATTATTACTTCATAAATTATCACAAATCCACAAAACAAGATACCTTGGTATCAAGACTAAGCACCTAACCTATTTAGCTGTTTATATGTGGCCTGTGGCTTGTCATACGTTTAATATGACGCATGATTTGCGTTGACAACCAAAATATGAAAATAATATAATAGCCAACCGGTAACTTATCATTGCTAGTCAGTGGCGCAACTAGGGCTAAAATGTTGGGGGGGCTGTAGCCTCCACCTGACATTATATGAAAAGTAACCCGTGGGGGCGATGCCCCCACACCCCCTAAAGATTCACTAAAAAATATAATAACACAAGTACACAACGACAAAATCTATTTATTTGTTCAAAGTTTCATTTTTCTTTTATTTTTATCAATAAATATTTTTAATATTTGTTCAATTGGAATCTCAATGTCTTTTTCAATATGGAGTATTGACAGGTTACTAAACCGATCTTGGTTCATTGTGGACCGTAAATATGTGTTTATCCTCCTCATAGCTGAAA